AATTATTAATGAAAAAAAGAAAAGAAAAAAGAAAAATAATTAAATCTCCAGTCAAAAGATAGGGTAGCTGAATGAATAAGAAAACAAGACCCTTACACAGGCTGCATACAAAGAACTCACTTCAGATTAAAAGACTCACACATGAAAAATAAAGGGATGGAAAAAGATATTTGATGATGGACCTAGAGGGTGTTGTGCTGAGTGGAGTAAATCAGATAGAGAAAGACAAATGCCATATGATTTCACATATATGTGGGATCTAAAAAACAAAGTAAAACACACACAAAAAAAAACAAGCAAACTCATAGATACAGAGAACATTTGAGGTTTATCAGATGGGTGAGGGACTTGTGTGGGAGGATCAGTGAAAGGGATTAGGAAGTATAAATTGGTAATTACAAAGTAGTCATGGAAATATAAAGTATAGCATAAGGCAGCGGTCCCCAACCTTTTTGGCACCAGAGGCCTGTATTCCTATGAGAATCTAAGGCCCGATGATCTGAGATGGAGCTAAGGCAGAGATGCTAGTGATGGGGAGCGGTTGCAAATACAGATGAAGCTTCACCTGCTTGCTGGCTGCTCACCTCCTGTTGTGCAGCCCGGTTCCTAATGGACCACAGACTGGTACCAGTCGGCAGCCCAGGGGTTGGGGACCCATGGCATAAGGAATACAGCCAATAATATTGTAAAAACTACGTATGGTGTCAGAGGGGCACTAGATTAATTGTACAGCTGAAACTAATATAATATCGTATGCCAACTATAACTGAAAAAGAAAAAATATTATTTTAAAAAGGGGGACTTTGCAAGTGTGATTAAGTTAAGGATCTCGAGATAGGGAAATTATCCTGGATTATCTGTGTGTGCTCTAAATGGAATTATAAGTATCCTTTGGAGAGGGAGGCAAAGGAAGATTAAACTATAGAAGAGAGAGAGGGCCACATGATAGCAATGGAAGCAAAGAGAGATTCAAAGTTGCTATGTTACTTTTAAGATGGAGGAAGGAGCCATGAGAAAAGGAATGAAAAGTATGTGGCTCACTCATAAGCTGCAAAAGACAAGAAAACAAATTCTCCTCTACCACTTTCAGAAGGAACCGTATCTGCTAACACCTTGACTTCAACTAAGTGAAACTGATTTCAGATTTATAGGTTCTAGAACTGTAAGAGAATAAATGTCTGTGGTTTTAAGCCACCAAGCTTATGGTATTTGTTACAGCAGCCATAGGAGACTAAAATGCCATCGTAGGGTAAATAATAATCCAATCTCTGTCAATTAGAATATACCATCTTCCAGTTACAATGATGGGTTAAGAAATAATCTCATGACCCATGACTGTCCAGTCAGAGCCTTCCTTGGGACTTCTGCAGGAAATAACAGAAAAAAAGTCTTCCTTAAGGATCCAAGGTATTAAGAAGTCATTGGCTTTGATGGTCAATGAATCCCATCTAGTTGACAAAGGAAGATTACAAGCTAACAGTAGCAAGGGAAGCTGAGAGATGTGGGGACAGAGCTCTCATGATGTTTGAGGCCCTGAAGCTAATACCACTTTTTGAGCTTCCAGTTATAGAAGCCAATCATTCCTACCTTTGATTTACCTATATGAGGATGAATTTCTATGATTTGCAACCCAAAGATAAATGATTAACATAGTTTGTATCCACACTCCTAGATCTCTGAAAACAGCAAAAAACAAAAGTGGCAGAGGTAAGCTTTACCGTCTCAGGGGGGTCCTTTGTGTCCTTCTAAGAAAGCTCTAAAGGCCTGAGCCCTAAACAGAGAGACTTTGACCAAGACACTCAAAACAACATTTAGCTTTAATCAGCACTATTTAAACAGTACAGCGAGAGCAGGGCTAATAAGAATGAGATATTTCAAAAGTTTTTAAAAGGAAAAAGAAAAACCATTGACCCAAATGAGACGCTTTATAATTCTGAATAAATGCTAAAAATGCTTATAAAAAATGTTAAGATGCTTAACTGATGAATAAATACAAACATTCATTTTGTTACTTCAGAGTTCTTTATCATGTAATGGGGCAAAACATTTTAGCAAATGCACTCTGAGTGATAAATGCTAGTTTCCCTTTCTAAAACAAATCAATTCTTGAAACTATTAACCACCAAATAAATGTAACTCTTTTTTTTTCTATTTATTTCTCCCCCTTCCCTCCCCCCCCCTTTTTTTTTAGTAGAAGAAAATAGATTTATCCAAGAAATAGAGCAGCATAGTGGAAGGAACTTGGAATGTAGCGGAAATGGGAGTCAGAAGCCTTGGCTTCTAATCTCAACTCTGTAAATTACTAGTTTTGTGACTTTTGGCATGGGTCTACTACAAGGAATCCCTTACTCATTCTCAGAGAGTTTGTAGTGGTGAACATCTTTTAAGGCAATATCTCTCAGCCTTAACCGTGCATAGAAATTCCCCAGGGAAATTCCAAATTTTGCTATAATGTTGTAGATGCTTTTTAGGTTTGGAGTGGGACCTGAAATCTGCATTTCTGATAAGGTCTCAGGTGATATTATGTTGCTGCTTGACGCTTTTGAGTAGCAAGATTTTAGGGCAGCCTCCAGGCGCTCAGTGATTTCTATTCTCTGGAAACTGCCCCAGTTTATAGCAGTGAGTCATTAATAGCTGTTCTTGTACCCACTTGCCATAGATGACTTCAGAAGAGGTGATTTCTGAGCCAAATTAGGCCAAAAGACCTCACCTGCAAATCTGGTTTTGAATTAAAAAAAAAAGATAGCAAGAGATATGACATTTATTCACTTGCTCACTCAGCAATTAAAATTTTTTTTTTTTCCTCTGTGTCACATACTATAGTAGGCAGTGGATATACGCCCGTCAATAAAGCACGTCTCTGCCCTCATGGCACTTTCGCTCTAGCAATGTACAAGACGAGTTTAGATGGGCTAAGTGTTGTGATGAAATTGCAGAATTTCAAAGGTTGCAGGAGACCTGGTTTAAATACGAGAGTTGGGGGAAGCCAAGCTCTTGCTTCCCTTCTTGCAGGAACCTTGGAGGCCACATGTTGAAGACAACAGCATAACAAATGAAACAAGACTGGGTCCCTGTGCGATTATGTGGAGGAGAGCCACTCTCCCCTTCCCTCCAGACCGAATTGGACTATGATGAGAGTGAGAAATAAACTTTTATTGCACTAAACCACTGAGACTTCAGAGTTTATCTGTTATAGAAGCTAGCACTTCTTACTGTAAATACATCAATTGCTCAACTCTTTCTGAGATGCTAAAAGTTGCTTTTTTCACTTAAATTAGCTAGAGCTACTCTCTACTATGTGAAGCCCCAAAATCCTTATGAATAAAATTTCTGTGAGAATCCAGTAAGCAGGTGTGAAAGTACTTTGTAAAGTATAAAGTGTTATACACCTGTGAGTAATTATGACTATAAATTGAATTTTAGGCAATATACTCCCTCTCTGGATATATTAATACGACAAAGAAATTAAACAGGCATTAACATATCAACCCACACTGAGGTTAATTTCTTTCTCTGGTCATTTCTATCTTCAATTTCTTGTTCAGACCTTTACAAAATCACATTTACTAAATCCCATTAAATAGCAGTGGAAACTAAGGAAGTAATTATAAAATTTGCAATTTCCTTTAAAATAGAAGTGCTTAGATTTTAAAAGTCCTGGGTGGCACAAGAATATTAACATTTAAATTTGTCATACTTATTCTCATGAGCTATCAACATGCGGTAGATCTGGACATCCCTCAGAGGATCTGAAATTTCTAAGGGAAATCTGTCTTTTGTACTGCATCCTCAGAGGAGTGTTTTCTTCCTTGGCTACTGGTCCCAAGACAGGTGGCTGGTCTCCCAAACCCCTCACTAACTTTCCCCTTCCCCTCTTCTAATCTTTGTACATCCTGGGCAGCCAGCGCAAAACTGTTCCTTAAGACTACTTGGTACAACTATACCTCAGTCTCCTAAGATTTGTGGCTGGATCACAGTTCGGAACAAGGTAGACAGACAAGATCAGAAAGGCCAATGCTGAGGACTTAGCTTTCTTCACCTGGCCTTCAGTTTTCATATCCCAGTGCCTGAGGTTGTCTTTACGACTTTGTGTTCTTAGTTGAAACCTAGCAATAAATTATATATTTCATATGAGCCTCTTTGAGTCTAAATGTGGCAACAGCAGCAGATGAAGTCAAAATCTTTACTCTTTGAGATACCAAAATGAAATCCTCCCCAGCCAGGGGTCAATTCGTGTGTGTGTGCGTGTGTGCACGCGTGTGTGTGTGTGTGCATGCGTGTGTGTGTGCATGTGTGTGTGTGTGTACACAGAGCCTGCAACTCTCCAAAGAACCAGACTTCTAATGAGGAGACAAAAGATGGGCCTCTCGAGGACACCTTTGAACGAGGATGCCAATCTTCCTTTTTACATGGCTTTTAAATATTTGGTTCCTTTAGCAACAAAAGTTAGTCCTGGCCTCATTGCCTGCTCAATGACCAGAAAAAGTGGAACTGGAAAAAAAATAGTGAATATCAGGGACACAGGAAAACATATGGACACACATAAATGTGGAAACTTAGAGCTAAATATAGACTTTAAAAGATACAGGGAGACCTTAAAATATATGGGAGTCTCATGGAGCCTCATCCGTCATCCATCCATCCTCCCATCCAAGCAATACTGGCTGAGCTGAGCCCTCCTTTTTATGAGGCACTGTACTCAGCATTGGGGGTGCACAAAGACGGTAGTGGAAGTGAAAAGGCAGAAATTGGACTTGGAAAGAGCAGTAGGCGTGACTCTGTAAGGGCTCCCGTGAAGCTGGAAAACGGTGGGGTGAGCACATGGGAGGGATTCACGGAGCAAACCTGCTGTCCCCAGCACAGGTGAGGGTGGATTAGAAACCTGCACATCAGAGAGATGCCAAGACCTCCTGGCTTCCTAGAGAGGCCGGGAAGTGGCTTGGGGGGGGGGCGGGTCAGACGGCTCTGGAAGCGCCTAGTGGAGGTGGTACGGGGCACTGATGTCTGGGGCTCACTGTGTCCCACAGTTTGCTGTCGTGGCCGTCGTCTACCGCTGCTGTGCCTGGGCCGGGGTGGAGAGGGCCGCCCTGAGCGGACACCCGGTGGGAGCTGGCGGGAGGGCTGCGGCTCCAACCGGCGTCGAGGCCTGTGAGAGTGACCCCTTTCTGTACCAGCGCGGGGTGGCAGCCCAGGTGAGACAAGACCAGTGGCAGGTGGTAAGCAGCGCTGTAGTGGGTAACGCTGACCCAGCTGGCGAAAAACCCTCTGCTACGGAGCCAGGCCTTCTAGCTTGGTTTTCTAGAATGTTCCCAAGGCCTGCAACACTGGCTAGCCCCTGCTTCTCTTCTTATCCCCTGTCCCCCACCCCCGGTTGGTTTTTAAAGATAGCAGGCCGCAAGCTCAGAGATCTCAGCTTGCATTCACATCTTTTGTTTTCATCTCAGTGTTTTGAAAAGATTATGACAAATGATTCTGGTTTCTCATTTAAAGTGGCGATGTAAAGTTCCCATTTAAAATGGATGTATTTCCAGTAAAAAGGTAAGTAGACTTAAGTAAAACATAATAGGTAACCAGCAGTACCAGTTGTGACAGAAATTATGAAGATGGTAAGTGAACAACACTGCATTGTCCCAACCCAGCTAGGGAGTCCTATAGACGTTACTTCAAGTCCTGGGTTTAACTCAGCCGCTTATGACCTGCTTCATTTGTGAGCCAGTTTCTTTCATTTCCTTCCTTCCTTCCCCATTTGTGAGCCAGTTTCCTTCCTTCTTTCCTTTCTTTCTTCCAGCTTTATTGAGATGTGATTGGCATATAACATTGTGTAATTTTGATGTACAACATGATTTGATACATGTATATATTGTGGAATGATAACCACAATAAGCTTAGTTAGCTTCTCATCACCTCGCATAATTAGAATTCTTGTGTGTGGTGAGAACGTTAAAGATCTCTTTTAGCAACTTTCGAGCATATAACGTATTGTTAACTGTAGTCACCATGTTGAATATTAGATTCCTAGAACTTATTCTATCTTATAACTGGAAGTTCGTATTCTTTGACCAACCTCTCCCCATCCTCACATCATCACTACCCCTCCCCCCCAAGCCCTGGTAACCATCATCCTACTGTTTCTATGAGTTCAGCTTTTTATAGATTCCACATGTAAGTGATATACAGTATTTGGCTTTCTCTGTCTGACTTACTTCGCTTAGCATGATGCCATCAAGTCTATTCGTGTTGTCACAATGGCAGTATTCTTTTTATGGCTGAATAATGGTCTCTTGTTTATATATACCACATTTTGTTTATCTGTTGATGGACACTTAGGCTGTTTCCATGTCTTGGCTATTGTAAATAATGGTGCAGTGAACATGGGGTGCAGATATCTTTTTGAGATGGTGATTTCACTTCATTTTAGCGAGGACAAAATAGGATCAGAGAGATTCAGTGACTGACCCACAGTCACACAGGGAATTGGTGGGAGAGCCAAGCCTAGACCCTGATTTTCTGATTGCCAACCTAGAAAGCTTAACTTTGCATATCTACTGTGCCTACCTCATGGGAGGGGATGAGGCACCTCCTCCCTGCCCCTCTGGGAATTGGAGGGGCCCGTATGAAATTGCAAATGTGTTAGCTGTGAAAGCCCACCCAGTACTCAGGTCAGTAAATTTGGAATTAACAAATTAGTACCCATCTCAGAGGGTTGTTAGCACCAGGGGAAATAATTTCCTGGAAGGGGCTTAGTACAATGCCTGGCACACAGTAACTGTGTTTAATAAATGGCAGCTGATACTACTTGGATATGTTGAAGTGGCAGACATGCTGAGCGCGAGAGGGAAGTTCAGTGTAGTTCTTGCAGATACAGCCGAAAGGGGCATTTGAAAAGGTTGCAGAGTACATATTCCATTTGGATTTACTGGGTCTACAGTCTGCCAGATACTCTTTGTCACTGCAGATATTCCTGAGAAGTGGCCTATGCTTGCATTGAGTTTATGTGGTAGTTTAGGAAGCATATGGGAAATATCAATTATAAAATTATTTAATTACTTTTGCCATAAGCATCATGAAGAATTGCCAGGATCTTTTCTGCAATATTTGGGTAAAAGGAATTTGAGTGCGTAGCTGGACAAGAAGATTTGACACACTTAATTAGGGTGATGAGAGTTAGACAGCTGCCCTGCCACCTACAGTTACGTTCAAAGCAGTGTGCACAAATACCATTATCCATTACGAGTATCGACTTTCCACTTGGTGTTATGCCCTTCATTAAGTTTCTTCCCAAATGTGTTTGGCCGTTTTGGTTTTATACCTCACATCCCTTTTACCTGTATCAGGGTTATTCTCCTTATCATCTCTAACAATTACTCATCTTTATTGCTTTGACTGCTTTATATTAAACACAAATAATTTTCAGATCGTGCATGGAATTTGAACAGCTCCGTTTCTAAGCTTTCTACCTTCAATGTGTTTTCCTGCTCTCAGTACAGTAAATACATAGTTACCTTTTGCCTCTAGTCAGTACTTGGACAGGTCATTTGAAACATGCCATCATAGGGTTAAACTATACCTGGAGATATTTTTGTCTTTCTTAAAGTAAATACAGTAATTTTTATTTTTATGAAAGCAGTCTTCAGTTCTATTTCATACTCTAGTGGCACTTAGATTTGTATATTGCATTATAATACCAGAAGGTTAGTAACATCATCATCTTGAACTCTTGGGATGAAGGAACTGTGTGCATAATCTAAGGTTCTTATTACTGATCCTTAGCATTTAATTAGGTCTTTGTAAATGTAAAGCACTCCTAGTCATTTTTATGAGTTTCTTCTCATAACTTCCCTGTGAGATGTCAACTTTATTACCCTCACTTTATCTTTGTATTTTCAAGAGGTCAGGCAGGTTTAAAATTTCATTTTTTCCTGTTTGTAATTAAGATTCCTTTTTCTTGATCATGGATTTAACTTTAACCTGTATCCACTGAAATGACTGCTCAGGTCAAATGTGACCCTTCCCCCCACCACACACTCTCATTCAGAGGAAAGCAATTACTGAGCAAAGCCACGTTTTGAAAGAGCCTTACAGCAATTGCAATTATAAATGCCGGTCTGAGTGCCCACCCTAGAAGGAATCAGGTGAAAATGAATTAATAAAACAGAAGCCATAAAGTATATAAAAATCAAGCAGCTGATTGAAGAAAATCTATACTTTTTTAAAAAAAATCCTTCTGGCTTAATGTTTATGGAAATTTTTTGTAGTTTCCTGCAAAATGTGTTTACTGCAGCTTTTCTGTGCAATTGTAGGGAGCCAGGAAGAGAGGAGGTGGCTTCTGGGAGGTACCATTAATAGCTGGTAATCTACAATCTATGATGGTTTTACTGACCTGATAGAAGCTTTTCATTGCTGTTTATCCTGCTAAATCCTTGATTTTTCCTTATTGGTTGCCACCTTTCTCTTCTGACCTTCCTGATCAGGTCAGTTATATAAGTTCTCGCCTCAGATCATTCTGAAATTAGTTGGAAGGTAATGAGGAGTAGCATGAATAGGCTGATGGGTATTCTGAACCATTAATAGTTTGAAAAGCACTGTAGCCCATATCCTCATCACTCCTTACCTAGACCGTTACCTGTTTCCAGGCGCTTCCTCCTGCAGGGAAAGCTTAGTCTTTCCCAAGCACCAAGTGAGCGTGCCATTCTGTAAACCTAAAAAGGCTTTCTATTGTCTACAGAATAGAATTCAGACTCCCCCAAAGGGAACTCAAAGCTGTCTCCAACCTAACCCCAGGCTATCCTCTGCCCTAAATCACCAGCTACGTGCTTTGTCTTCAGTTTGCACACTGGCCACAGCAGACTTACCATATTAGTCACTCACACCAGGCTTCCCTGTTGCCATTTCATTCATTTATGATGCTCCCTCAGCCTGTAGTAACCCTCTGCCTCAACTGAGCCCACTCAATTCTTCCCATTGTTTCATTCAGCTCTAATGCTCACTCTTTGATGAAGTCTTCACTGATCTGGCCTTCAGGATCAATTTCTCCTCCCACCCCACCTCAGTGCTCCCCACAGCACCTTGTTTACGCTGACATTATTACAGTAATCTTGTTTTCTCCTTTTGCCTTGAACTTTAGATATTTGCAAAAGCCTCTCACCTTCATTGTAAGCTCCAGGATGCAGGAGATCTGTCTCATTAGGCTTTATGTCGTTTTTATTCCAGAACTTTTTAGGAGATAAGTTAAATCAAAATGGCAGTGTTAATTGGCATATATAACAATGACTCTTAGACACTGCAGGGCCCTGCATAATCCGTGCCCATCAGAATCTTACAAAATCAGATGTCATTCACAGTGTTCAAAGTCATCCATAAATTCAGCACATATTTGTTGAACACCTACTGTGTTCTAGATTCTGGTAAGGATATACCAGTAAAAAAGGCCGAAGGACTCAGTTGTCATGGCACTCATGTTCCGTTGGAAGGAGATCAACAGTAATTTTAGATAGTAAAATGTGCCATGAAGAAAACAAAGCAGCATTTACAGTAAGGGAGGGCTGTTTTAGGTAGGGTGATCAGAGAAGTCTCGATTGGGTAAGTGACACTTGAACAGACCTAAACATTGACAAAGATGCAACCAGGCAATGATCTGGTCCAGAAGTATTTCACACTGAGGTGAAACAAGTGTGCGTAGACTTCAAGGCACAAATGATCTTGGCATCTTTAAAGAAAGGGAAAAAAGTCCAGGTGATTGAGGGTAGAGTACTACTGGTGGAAGAGTGTGAGATGAAGTCCGAGAGAGATATTACCACCAGGTCCTGGAGGTGAAGGTAAGAAGTCTGGATTGAAACCTCAGTGAGTCTACAGCTATGCTACCCTGAACAAGCCCAATCCCATCTGATCTTGGAAGCTAAGCAGGGTCGGGCCTGGTTAGCACTTGGATGGGAGACCACCTAGGAAGACCAGGTGCTGTAGGCATAAAAAAAAAAAAAAAATAAGGGATTGATTATAAGCTGACAAGGTCCTTGCAATCTGTGCAGTCAACCAAGGGCTGCCTCGCCTAAAAAAAACAAGAAAGAAAGAAACTTCAGTGACTGACATCTATGGATAGTATTTAGCTAGAAATAGCACCTGTAACAAAGTCATGTGATTATGTTAAATACTAGAATTGACTACACTTAGTTTTATGACTACTTCAAATCCAAATGGGAGTGGTCTGTACTCAGAAAAGAATAGAATTATAAGGACACCGTTAGGTGGATTAAAGGGATGCTGGTCCATTCATTCTTTACGCATTGTAAGCACAGCTATGGAATTGCTGAGTCAAACCTTTGGAATCCATCAGCCATCCATCACATCATTTGTTCAATTTTCCTAATATTTATCACTCTTTTTCTGTATACCTTCAAGCCACTGACGGTCACTTGCCGAATCTTGTCTTCAGTTGTCACATAAACTGATTTCTGCATGAATGATCTGATTAGTTTTCCTGGCAATCTGGTCTGCTTTAGTACACTTATCCAGAAGAACTTGTCAAACTTTTTGTAACCCTGTGTGTTTGAGAGAACTAATTATTGTATGTGGGAGTGTAATAGAATAATCGAATCCCTAAACTCTAGAGCTTGAAGAAAATGGAATTCAAGAAATTAAATCCGTGGAGCGCCCATCCATGCCAGGCATTTTGCGGAGCCTTTTTTATATACTATCCCATTCAGTCTTCATAAGCCTGTGAGCTTATTATCAGCTCTACGTTTTAGATACAGCAGCAGGCTCAGAGGGATTAACTTGTCCAAGTAGAGACTGCTTGCAGTCTCCCTGCCTAACCACACCTCTGAGTATCTCCACTAATTTGAGCGAGTGAGCATGTATGTTCCCAGTGCATTTGAGGACCTGCATTCCCCCTGTTCTATTTCTTTTTAAGTGGAAAGAGTTAAGCGGCCCAGTTTTTTGCTTATGTTGTCGTGTTCTTGAGAGAATGGATTCTCGGAGCCTTGAGAAAATATTATAAATATTTTTATAAGCTATAATTTGTAACAATAATTATTTTGGCACAGAAGAGGAGGGAGAGAGAAGTGAGACCCCCATAGGCATTGAGCACATGCAGTACTTACAAGATATCCTGGGGCTGGGAAATGTGGTTTGCTATATTAAGGAAATTTTTGACCCCTATTTTTTTTTTTTTTAAGTATCGGGTTAATAAAACATCAGTATTAAACAAACCATGCTGCAGTATGCTATTTTAAGCAAAAGATGTTGGAAATTTGCTTTAGAGTTCTGTTCTTGATTTTTTTTGGTGCATGAGAGAAAAGGCCTCTCCCTACCAAATTTGAATGAATTCTTTTCAAAAAGGCTCTAATTTTTTTCCCAGATATTAAATGTAAGAATAATGCCTTACATTTGTAGAGCACTTTGTGGTTTTCAAAGCACTCCCCGGTAATTATGTAATTTAACCTTTACATTGACCTTGTCAGGCAGGCAAGGCAGATATTTCTGCCCTCATATTACATAAGAAGAAATTTGAAGCCCAAAAGTGAAAAGGAGGAGTGGTTGGCTAACCTCACACAGCCACGACTAGAACCTAGGTCTTAGCTTTTCTTTCTACTAGAGCATACTGCCTTTTTCTTTTTGTTAACCCCGGATTGGAGACAATCACATTTGCATTTGGATCAGTAACAGTGTTGCATAATTCTTTTATTATAGATCCAGTTATCTTTTGACTCCACATACAGACTCCCAAAAATCTCCGAAGGAAGGTGTCCTCATTACAGGAGGAGGTGGCTATTTTGGTTTCTGGTCAGTGCAGTTATTAAATATGTCCCTGGACTTATTTTACTGGTAGTTGCTGGAAAAAGTATAGCTTTCAACTCTGACATTAATATAGTGTAGACTTTTACTTGTTTGTATAGTGTTAAGCCAGGAAAGGACTATTTTGCCCACTGTTCAGATACTGAAATTGAGAACTGCAGATATATTCTACCTTAAGAAAAATTCTTTATAAAGCCATTAACTTGGAGAGGAGAGATACTCACATGACCAGAAACAATTTAAAATAATAGTGATTCTTTCACAGTTATGTTATCATCCATAAATATTCCAAAGAATGTATGGTGGATCCTAGAACAGAGGGAAAAAATGTGACTTGTAGATGCTACCATCTTTAAAGATAAAGCCTCTTTCATTGTAATTTAAGTAGATGTGAGGATTCTCATTTTTGAATATTTGCATAGGTAAGACTTACCCCCAATGAACACGTAAAGTGAGAGACACAGGATAAGCCAAGGAGACTTAGTAAATTATCTATACACTTCTCCTAGGCATAGCTTAATAGTGATTTGATCTAACTTTTACTCTTTTTCATTTCAGCCTAGGCTGTGCTCTGAACCAGAAAGGGGTCCATGTGATTCTGTTTGACATCAGCAGCCCTGCTCAAACCATTCCAGAAGGAATTAAGTTTATGTATGGAGACATTCACCACCTCCCTGATATAGAGAAAGCCTTCCAGGATGTGGATGTCACTTGTGTGTTCCATATTGCCTCTTATGGTATAGCAGGGCAGGAGCAACTGAATCGAAACCTGATCGAAGAAGTCATTGTGGGGGGCACAGACAACATCCTCCAGACTCGCAAGAGGAGAGGGGTGCCAAGATTGGTTTACACTAGCACTTTCAATGTCATCTTTGGAGGTCAAGTTTTCAGAAATGGAGATGAGTCTCTGCCTTACTTATCTCTTCACCTCCATCATGATAACTACTCTCAGACCAAATCTATTGCAGAGAAGAAGGTGCTGGAAGCCAGTGGTACAGTGCTGGAAAGAAGTGATGATATCTTGAACTTGTGTTTTGAGGCCAGCTGGCATTTATGGGCTTAGAGAACAAAGGCACCTACCCAGGATAGTGAGCTACATTGAGAGAGGCCTGTTCAAGTTCGTGTACAAGGATCCCAGGAGCCTGGTTGAATTTGTCCATGTGGATAACCAGGTGCAGGGTCACATTCTGGCCTCAGAGGCCCTGAAAGCTGACAAGGGCCACATTGCCTCTGGGGCAGCCCTACTTCATCTCAGATGGCATATCCGGGAGCAACTTTGAGTACTTCTGGCCTTTGAGGGCTACCCGTTCCCATTCACTCATCTGCCCTTGACCTTCCTCTACTGCTTCGCTTTCCTAATAGAGATGGCCCACATCAGTTTGGGTTGACTCTACAACTTCCAGCCCTTCCTCACCTGCACTGAAGTTTACAAAACTGACATTACACATTACTTTAGCCTAGAAAAGGCCAAGAAGGAGCTAGGTTATGAGGCTTGGCCATTTGACCTCCAGGAAGTAGTGGAATGATTTAAAGCCCATGGTCACTTCTAAGAGTTGTGACTCTGAGTGTCTTGTTTGGGATGGGCTGTTAGTCTTTCTCTTGGTTATAGCAGTTCTCACATGGCTGTCTTCTGTGATTCTATCACTATGGAGGAAGAGAGAAAAGTAAGGAGCCGATCACACTTGCTGAGATAATTTTCATGAAACGCGAGTTTTAAACTATAGATAGTTACAGATAGCTGGTGCCAAATTTTGGCTCCTCAAATTGCTACTTAAGAATAGATTCTTGGATTACTTCTTCATTTCTTACCTCCTTGCACTAATCCTGATGGGAGAAAAAAGAAGCAAAGATAAATTCGAAATTTTGTTTCTTGTGTTCTCCTTTAGATGAGTGCAGTAGAAGTCATTTTGGAGCTATAGACTTAAATTTACTTAAATTGGAAGTGTCTTAACCTGAATTCCTCAGAAGCCAGAAACATACTTACTTCCATTCCACAGACCCTGCATCTACTTAGAATGGACTAAAACACACACTGATATGGGAATGGCAAAACACTAATAGGCATGAAAATGTGTGAAAAACACTGAATTGAGCCAGGTCCCTACAGACTAACCCTCTGAAGAGATGGTGACTGTTGTAGGGGAGGCATTAGCTGTTCACTGCGTAAGTTTAGGAATTAGTTTTTGCCCTTTGTGATATAGGGCATTACACCTGTGTGACCACATGCTAATGTTTGATGTTTAAACAAATAGACTTTATCTGACCTCATAAGATTTTTTTGAGGATCAAATTAAACATGGCACATAAAGTGCTATTCAACACAGTTAAGCCATTATTTTTATTAACATTGTTACTACACGTTCCTTATGAGGATTTTCTTCCTCGGGGGTGTTCTTTATAGAGGGGGCTGTTGCTGCTAACCTTTCTGGAATGCCGTTGTGGTGTGCCCTCCAAGTCTGTAACAAATGTATTCGAGTATACTCAGTATAAAGTTTTGGTCTCTGAGGATAGATTGAAGTTTAGGAAACAGCTACAAAACTGATGATTAAGGAAGATGATTAAGCTGATGATGCCATGTCCAATTAAAAATGAAGGATTTGTAAACTAATGGACGGGTTTTCTTAGTGGGAAGAATTTTGGTTCTCTAAAGGCAATTTCCAATGAGGAGTGTTTTGAACAATAGCGGTGTTGAGTAGCCACCCTCGGGGCCTGCCTTGGAAGACGTTCAAGTTGTCCTGCTGGACCGGAACCAAAGTGGAAAGAAGATAGACAGCCTTCACCCCTCCATGATTCCAGCTACCAAAAGGACAGTATTAGAACATTATAAAACATTATAGCTTGCTGTGGAAAGTAATGTTACAGTTGTTCTGAGAGTATGTAGAAGGAGGATGCTAGATGAACAGTCCCGAGTGAATGTTGCTTGGATGTTTTGGAAAAAGAGCTCACCTTGATACCAGAAGACATGCAACCATGAATGTTTTATGTGGCCTTCACCAAGTAACTGAAGCCTCTTATGCCTTAGTTCCCTCATTTAGGAAATGGGAACGACTGTATTTCCCCCTCTATAAACCCACCTACCCACCTCACACGGTTTGTTGTGGTAGGGTGAAAATACTTTTAATATATAAATTGCAGCATAAACGTGGTGGTAGTGATTGTTTTGGGTAAAATATTTTTGGAGTCTTATAAGATGCTTTTGCTTTTTAGTCTGGAGGTAACATGAATGAGCATCTATAGCATATCTAACATTGCAGGTGCTATGGGGCAGGTTTCTCTGCCCTTTACAGACTTACAGTCTAGTAAGGACATGGTGTGTCCATATGAGAAGGTCACTGATAGACCAGATAAGTACAATGAAACATCCATTGCCATTGAGAGGTATCACAGACTTTCAAAATATGTTTTTAATGAAGTTCTTTAAAAGAATGATAGATACTTCCCCGTTTTCTCAAATCAAGTATGCTGAGCATAGTAGAGTTTTGCTTATTTTTGGTTTTCTTTTCCACAGTCAAGATATTTCAGTGAAATTCAGGATCAATATCTGGGCTTTATTGTCATCCAGGTACAAGACGTTTGGCCATTCTACAACGTTTGACACAATTGTCCACTCTCTCCTTGAAACATAGTCCATTTACTCACACTCTTCTGGCCTTTCTCTTTGTATTACCTATTGTTAAATAACAAATTACCCCAAGACCTTATCTTAAAGCAACAAACATTGCCTCCTAGTTTCTATGGGTCAGGTATCTGAGTGCAGTTTAACTGGGTAGCTTTTGCTTAGGATCTCTCTTGACGGTCACCTCTTGGTGTTGGCTGGCACTGCAGTCACCTGAGAGCTTGAATGAAGCTGGAGAGTTTACTTTCAAGATGGGTCAGCCACACAGTTGTTGGCAGGAACCCTCAGGTCCACACCATGTGGGCATCTCTATAAGACTGCTTGAATGTCCTGACGTGGCAACTGGTTTTCCCCAGGGCAGGTGATCCAAGAGAGCAAGGTGGAAGCTGCGGTGTCTTTCATGACTTAGACTCAAGTACACACTCTCACTCCACAATATACTGGTTACACAGGTCAATCCTACTCAGTGTGGGAGGGAATTACCCAAAGATGTGGATGCCAGAATGTGAGGAACGTTAGGGGCCATCTTGGAGTGTGGGCTCCTGGCTCCACTCTCTGAAATCATCTTTCCTTTTCCATGAAAGGTGGCCCATTTATAGCTATATAGCCTGCTTCTACCAGGTAGAATTTGGGGGGGCCCAAAAGCCTCTTTACATATTGTGCTGTATCTCTTTCAGTTCAAGCTGATACTGTTATGTAAATATAATTATTTCGAGTACTTTATGTATCCCCTGTTAGTCTTATCGCACTTCATCAGGCAAAACTCACACCCACGAATTTGTTTGAGGTAAGTCCTTCTCTACCTTGGACTTCTGCTCAGATTGCTGAGGGACAATACCTTTAAGATTCTTATTGTCGAAACAGCTCTCTGAGGTACCACCTTAGGTCTCTCTGAGGTCTTAAATGGTTTTATAGTCACAGCCTCAGGCATGCTCTGTCATCTCTACAATAGCACATTGGCTACACAGGTGAGCCCTATTCCCCTATTCCGTGTGGGAGGAGACCACACAAGGACATGAATGCCAGGAGGTGGGGATCATTAGAGGCCATGTTGGAGTCTGATACCACACTCCTTCATCTCCTCGGTTCTCTTACCTCCTCCACTCCCATTTTAAATGGTCGATTTCTTCAGTGCTCAGAACTAGGCCCCCACACTTTCTCCATAAGAGATCTTGTCTAAGCCCCTGGCTTTAATTTCCATCTCTATTCCAAACATATACCACTACATTTATAGTTCCAGCCCAGACCATTCTTCTGCACTCCAGACCCATCTAACTACCTCTGCATCTCCGCCTGGATATTTCACATGTACTTTTCAGTCAGCATCCAAAATGGAATTCGCGGTCCCGTCAAATTCTTACAGGCTTTCATTCCTTAGCAAATGTCACCTGTATCGTTGAATTTCTCATGCCAGAAATCAGGGATAATCTAATCTCTGTCTCCTCTTAACTTGACACACCTAACCTGCCTTTAAGCTCGTTGATTCTACACTCTGCTAATGCTCAAAGTTGCCCCGTATACAGGTGTTAACCTCTCTCCCCTAAACTCCAATAATAACCTCTTTTCTCTTCCACCTTCATCCACTCCTGCCTCCCTTCAATCCATTCTCCACATGCCAAGCAGAGTGATGCTATAAAGATGTAAATTTGTGTCACTTCTCTGCTCAAAACTCTCCTTGAGTTCAGATTGAAAATCTTTGATGTGACCTAAGAGGCCTTACCTGATCTGGCCCCTGCCTATTGCTCCACGCTCATCTCAAGCCATACTTCTTTGCCAAAACCACACCGGTTTCTTGCAGGTTTCTGAGTTCTAAGTTCCTCAGGACTCCCACTCTTTTTTTTTTTTAACTATAATGTTTATTTCATGTTTTAGTTTAAGTCTCTTTCCAGAGGCCTTCCATGATCACAACAATTTAGGTTTGGTCCTCCTGCTACAAACTCTTAGAGCACACTACTTTTCTTTTATAGCCTTTATCACAAGCTGTAATAGTAATTATTTGTGTAATGCTGGTAAGTAAGCTCCCTGAAAGCAGGACCTTCATCTTGCTTACTACTGTATCCCTACAGCCTAACACAAAACAGGAGCTCAGTATTTATTGAGTGAATGCTATTTTCCCCCTTTAAAAAAAAATTTTTTTTTTTTTTTTTGGTTTCTAATTTACTTTTTCTAATCTGTTGAAGACTGGGAAAAAAAATAGCCATCGTGCTAGAATTATGTGTAAACTAAGTCAAGATGAGATGAGGCCATTCTCCATGTGACATGGTGGAGTTATCAAACGCTGTAAGATGTTCAGAGAAGGGGGAGGGATGTGGATTGAGTGGAAAGTTATTTCTGCTCCCTCCACATCTCAGCTGAAAACTGACCACTTTAAGGAACTCAGTCTATTTTCTGAAAGCTAACTCCCTTCCTTTCTAAGGCCAGGAGATATTGCTGTTAAGGAATTTCCTTAGCTCTAGGGTTCCCAGCTGCCCACACCTGCCATCAAGCGTGGATTGAATTCCCATACCTGCATAAAATTATGAATGCTTGTGCTTGTGCATGTGGGGACACCCCTAGACACCTGGACATAAGCCACCCAGCACTGCCACCCCAAGATGGGCAGTTATCCATTAGCCCGATGGAGGATCACATCACTGGACAAAGAGCCATGTAGTGGAGCACAAAGGTAATGCCAAAACTGCCCATGCCTTAAAAAAAAAGAGGGGCCTAGCAGGCCTGTTCAAATATTTGGTTTCTTTACTGCTTTTCTGGTCAAGGGTGGCAGATGGTGGAACGTTAGGAAAAGTAGCCATTACTATAGGCCAAATAACTAATTCTAGCACCACGTTACGTAAGTTATAATATTTCTCAAGCCTGCAGAATAAGCTTAAAAATTCTTTTCAAGAAAAGGTTTTATTTCCCTCAATCACCTAACTTGGTGATTATGAGAAAGCCTGTATCGCTTTGTCATAGATTTAATGTTTACTAACAATTGTCGTGGCATCTCCGACTTGAATTCCTTTCCAAATTCCCGGGAGCTCACCTAGCCTCAGAGACCAGGTAATAGAGGCAG